GTCATAAGTATGAAAAACTCAAAAGTCACTTTTTTCAGTGCCATTCTAACTTCAAAAGGTCACTAAATGAACTGTTGTAAATTGAGGATTACCTGTACTATTGTAAAATAGCTCATTTGCAAAATGCTTGCTACAAAAATAAGCATGATTGCACATTGACAAAGCATGGAGTTAATAGAATGTTACCACTGTTCATTCCCTCTATTCTCATGCAACCAACAGGATACTCTCAGCGCACTTCTAAACAAAGCACTGAACTGGAACTGCCCATCATTGTTCCTTTCTAACAAAATGCGTGGAGCCCAACTGGTCTAAAAACATCCTTAAAACACCCTAAAAGCTATTTTGCATTGCAGCATCCCATTTTTAAAATATTTGGGTGTTATTTTTTTAAAGGAACCATTTTGGGGATTCAACCCTAATCTGTGAATCAAATAGATATTAAAGTTCTCTGGAGCAAGCATAACTTATCATTCCATTCAAATAGTACATCTGGTAAAAAAATGAAAACAGGTTTCTTATACAGTACTCATACGTCTGTATATAAGCCTGCTCCCATTTTAACCCTAACCCTAATTCAGCGGTGTCAAATTTGCGGCCCATGGGCCAGATTCATCACACGCTGTCCACCCCCACCCCTGTTTTTAGTGAAGGGGGGAAAGTCACGATACCTAACATGATGCTGTGAGTTTGATACCCCTGCCCTAATTCTCCCAAATTCCTATGCATAATCAGGTTGGTGAGTTTGACCCATTGGTCACTTGACAAATATTCCCTCTCCAACACCAAAAGATTTGCAAGCTAAATCATGGGAAGGTATAGGTGTTGCTTATCTTGTTAATCTTTCAGCCTGGTTAATTTCTTGATTTTGAATTGTTTTTCTTTTAACTTGTAAGTTTTAACCTTGTTTTTAATCTCTTTTTTAACTGTGCTTTTAGTCCTGTTTTTACAATATTTTGTCTTTAAACCACCCAAAGTCACATTTCTACACTGCCCTGTGACTTTGAGCAGTACAGAAATGTGATAAACAAATAAAACAAAGGTAGGGCTGTAATTTCACCTACTCTTTTTCTTTCTATACCCCACGCACTGATTTGCTTGAAGCAAGAAATAATTTATCATTTTTGTTCTTCCTCCACGCCCAAGTCTTGATCCCAAGCCCTTAAAGAAAGGAAACCAGGGACTTCCCTAGGGGATTATGTGCACCTTGTATAGACAAGTCTAATTTAGTCAAAAACAGATTACCTCTCCTCCCTGAATTTAAATAATATTAAATGATTGTTGACAGAAGTGCAGGCAAATAGGTATTTGCCATTAGGTGTAAAATATATCCCTGTAGTTACTGAAGTTGTACATGCAAAAATAAACTATAGCCACAGAGCATAAATTCTGACTAGTAACACTTAAGCAAACAATCTGTACCATCTTCAGATGTTGAAGTTCTAAGCGCGGCTTCTGAGATCACAAACACCAAATTTATTAAAGAAATTCCTCAGATTTAATAGAAAAGTTCTAAATAATTACTGGAGTATTTCTAGAGGCCCAAATATTTTGGCACAATTTGAGAATTCCCACCTGTAGAATCAAAGCCGTTTGCAAGATACCTGAAGGATGTAAGGTTAGGAAAGATTCAAATCAAGATCTTAATCCAGAATATTGCCATTGTTTTATTATTTATTATTATTTTAACTAACAGGCGGAACACATTAAACAGGTAGAATTACCATATGGATTATTATTAATGTGTTCCCTTTTAAGAAAACATGAATTTAAAACAAGGACCCTTAAAATTTCATTTTGAAAAGTCAGAAACATCTATATTCTTTTCTTTCTTACTTTCACATTCTCTCTATCCCTTCTTAATAGCTCTGGTTGTTGTTGTTTTTTCAGAAGAACTTTTAAAGTCAAAAATTAACTTAACCCACATAACTATTGAATTTAATAAATATTACAGTGTGTTAATAGTTAACAGCGTACATAAATTAGCATTTATAAAAATCAATTACATTGCCTCGTAAGACAGAGGAGAAGCAAGACCTTCACCATGGGATCATTTGTATTATCTGTTAATTATAATCCATAATTGTCCCTTGTTATCATTTTAATTTGCATAAATAGCATAACTTTAGCATTTACCAGATTTGGATACTTGAATACAATTATACTTTGAGCTTTCTTTCTTTCTTTTTTGAAATGTTCAGTATTAATTATGGTATTAAAATTAGCCAGTTCTGATTGCTGACCTTGGAATTACCTTGCAGTAGTTCTCTCTGGCTGTTGAGGTCATTTATCTCATGGCTATACAGGCTTGTTAACTTATCGCTTTTGCACAAAGTTCCAAACGTAGAGCTAGCATGCCAGTTTGCCAAGGTGTGTTTTGGGGGTTTGGTTTCTCCTATGTAAAAATATAGGAGAATTCATTTATCCTATATCCTATATTCATTTAAGTGTGCCCAGAAAGGTGCTTTATTTGGTAGGATTCTGAGCAAAAGTGCACTAGAGATAACAATGAGCAAAATTTGGGAAGCAATGAGCATTTTTATCATGAGCAANAGTCACATGGCCAGCAAACCACTCCCACAAAGCAGGCCACACCTACAGAAGAGATTCTAAAAAATTTTGAAACCAACCACTGTTCTGCTGACTAATCTTGTGCTAGGAATAAGGTGTTTGTTAATCCTGTACAGGACAAATCTGACTAGTTATTTCAAATCTCTTTTTCATTGATTCAGTTTTTTATATTGAGAATCAGATGGGATTATCAAAAATCCATTGAATTCATTGTTAGCATACCAGCAATATTTATATGACACAACATTTACAAACTACAATATAGATTATAACCAAATAATAAGATTAACAGACAATTCAGTTTTAACAACTGTATTTCATATGGATCCAATTACCATCTGTACATGATGCAAGAACACATATGGACCAAACAAGCAGATTTATAACAGAAGGTCCTCCTTTTGATTCAAATCACTCTTTAGCCAGTACATGAAATTGAGAGGTTAGGTCCATTTTTCCCCCAATCCGTGAACTGGACACGTTGAGTGTCTTATCGGGAACTCTGTAGGCAGTGCATACCCCTTGGCTCTCCTATGTACATATATAAACTGGCGCTTCTAAGAAGTATCTAGGGTTTACCATTTTATTAAGAATTCTTCCATGGCCTTTTGCATAAATGGTGACTGTTAAAATTTAAGACAACAATGTGAGGTTTCATGTACAACCATCTTCCCAACTCTCTATGGGCCATCCATAGATACTT